TGGCCCGCGCTGAGTTACGGAGAGTTATTTAGCGCTAATGAGCCCACGATGCTTGTGGACGTGTGTGCCTTGTGCGTCCCCCCTGCGCAGAGCATCCCAAGGTAAAGTAAGGGCTCACGCGTGTGTCACAGCAGCTTTGCCCGGAGTTGGAGGTGCCGTCCTGCAACCGTGCAAGGATCTGGGACTGCAGCTCAGCTGCTGCCCTGAGTTTCCCCAGGGGAAGCAACCAGTCTTGATGCTGTTGCTCGAGGTCCTCGTGCACCGTCCACGCTCCGTTGTGAAGCTGATGCCTTACAGCGACTCAGTGCATCAGTAAGGGGCTGAATGGATCCAGGATGGATCCAGGCCTCTTCTGTCACCCTAGGATTTCCCACTGCGAGTGCCAGGCTCTTGTCTTCTCCCAGCTCCAGCCCTGAGCTGTTTTTTGTTAGATTGCAGGAAGGAGGCAAGGAAGGACCCTAGGGCTCAGCCAAAGGGTAGTGGAGGTGGGATGAGACAGTGGCTCCATTTCCCATGGGGTCTTGGTCCTCCTCAGCCCTTGGGAACTATTGGAGCTCATGAAAACCCAGATGGTTCCCATTCTGTGTGTTTCTTTTTTACCGGGGGGTGAGGGGGGGGATAGAAGTGACAATTTGGGGAAAAGACTTGTCAAGCAACGCTAGTGTCACCAGAGGGCGCTGCTGGGACATCGATGGGGCTGTCAGTTTTTTTAATTTTGCTTTTGGGTTTTTTGGCTCTCTGAGTAGGGCCCTGCAGCTGTCTGTGGTTTCGTATGGGGCTGCGCATCCCTGTATCCTGGACCTCGAGCAGTTGGAGGCACACCTGGCCCTTGGTACAGGGATACAGTGGGTTGCATACCTCTGCACTGGGAAACTTTGTCCCAGGGTCTTGGGTGATGTTAGCTCATTTGCTGAGAAGTGTAGTGGTTCCTGGATGAAAACATGTTTGTGCCTGCGCAACAGCCTTGAGCAAGGGAGCGTGTCTGATCTGAAGCACGTAGGTTGCTAGGGGCATGGGCTTGCACAGGTCTGCTATGAAGCTGTGACCCACCATGTCCGGCAACTCAGCTGGAGGTCGGGAATCCCCAAAATTGGAGCTTCTGGCACAAGCAGAATTGAACTGTCCCTTGGAGCTCTATGAAGTGCTTTTCCTGCAGCTTGCTTAGGAAATTTATTTTTAGAAAGTATCCGTTTCCCAGGAGGAGCCGAGATATTCCTGTGAAATGATGGGGAAATACACCACTCACATGGACTTCATTGCTCCAGAGAGGCGGTGGCTTTGCCGCCTCCGAGATGTGATCCAAGACCCAGTAAACAACCACAGGAGGCTCTTAGATCTGTTGCCATTAGACAAGTTTATTCTTTGAGCTTCCTACGATCACCTCGTCACATGGAAAATGTTTTGAAAAGAAACATCTCCAAGGGGTATCCTGGCTGTTTCAGCACAGTCCTGTACCTGGAGGGGTGGAAGTGATGAAGGTTGGAAAGTGAGCCTTTCCATGTTGTCCTGTGTCACCAGTGAAGAACACTGTGACCACAAGTTTGGGACTCGTCCTCATATGGCAGCTGCTGAAAGCCCCATGGCTCAGTGACCTTAACATAAATCAGGATTTTCACTTGCCTGGGAAAGAAAATGAAGCATGTGATCGACTGTGGCAGCAGTCCAGCTGTGCCGCATGCTTGAGGTATTGATCTGCTAGCAAGGCCGTGCGTGGTGCCAGGTCCCCGTTTTTGCACCGTGAGTGCAGAGACTCGCCAAAGACCGCTCAGGGCTGGGCTATCTGTGTAACCCGTGCTAATGCATTGCCTCTCTTCCTAGGTAAACCTCTGAAGCTGAGCTTGGCCACCGAGGAAGTTGCCACCTTCTATGCAAAAATGCTAGATCATGAGTATACAACCAAGGAGATTTTCCAGAACAACTTCTTCAATGACTGGAGGAAGGTATCTTCCCTATGGGGGCTTGCTTGTTGCCAGTCTTCAGTGTTAAACCCCCAGTGTTAAAAGCAGGATTCCTAGGCAGATCAGGGGATGCGGTGGATGGGAGTGATGCGAGAGGGAGGTGATGCTTTTTCTGTGGCTTAGCTTTTTCTTTCCTTGGTCCTTTTGGGTTTGGGTGAGGGCTTGCTGTCTGCAGCATCCTTGAGTGTTTTGCACTGGCACTTAGTGTCAACCTTAGGTTTATTGATACTACCCAAGAAAGCAGGCGCTGGGTCTTGCAAGCAGCCCCATGAGCGTGTTGGGAAGTGTGTACTCACTTGCGTCCCTCTGAAGAATTAATTTTGCTAGCTAGCGCTCGACATCTCCATTTTGCCTCTTTGCTTTACCCAGCCCCTCTGATCTCTCTTGCTCAGGAAATGACCCCAAAGGAGCGGAAAATAATCAGACACCTGGACAAGTGTGACTTCAAGGAGATCCACAAGTACTTTGTGGATAAAAGTGAGGCACGGAAAGCTCTCTCGAAAGAGGAGAAGCAGGTGAGGTTTCTGTGATGTCTGGGGCTGGCTGATACGTTTGGGGCCCAGTTAAGGTGTTTCCATTCTTCTAGGCCAGGAGTTTCACTGCCTCCCTTCCTGGTGGGTTATGCCCTAGCTTTGGCCTTTGAACCAGCTCCCATCTCTCCATCGCACTGCTCTTCCTCAAGCTTATCTGCAGATGCTGTGCATTTCCTGGCTTTGCAGGCTACCAGTCATCCTTGGACCATGGTTTGGGGTCCTGCTCAGAGGACGTTGCTCCTTGCTAAGGTGCTGGTGGCACCCAGGCTCTGCTCCCTTGATCTCCGAGGCTGGCACAATATCATGGTGCTGGCCTGAGGATTTGTGAAGTGACTGGAGATGAGCCATGTGTTGAGAGTGGGCTTAGGTCCATGCTAAACTCTATTTTTAGCTCTTCAAAGCTCTACCTTTCCTGGCTTGCTTCCCCTTGGGAATGGAGGGTGTCAGGCACAAGTCATGGGGTTTTGGCTCTGTCCTGTGGGATGACGGTGGGATGGTGCTCGTTTCAGAAGCTGAAAGAGGAGGCGGATAAGATCCAGGAGGAGTATGGGTACTGCATCCTTGATGGGCACCGGGAGAAAATAGGCAACTTCAAAACCGAGCCGCCGGGGCTGTTTCGTGGCCGTGGTGACCACCCCAAAATGGGCATGCTGAAGAAAAGGATCATGCCTGAAGATGTGGTCATCAACTGCAGCAAGTGAGTTGCTGTGGGGAGAGCTGAGCTTGTGGGGCCAGGTTTGGGACGGGTCAATGGTACATATCCTGTGTCCAGAGTTGCTGTGGGATTTTGCTGTCCGTCTCCTGCAATCACTCCTTTGCAGTCCCTGACACTTAAATTCACCTGAGCGCTCCTCTGTCACCTCCTTTTCTGGATACCTCCTTTGCAGTCAGGTCTGGCTTTAGTTTCTCTGTGGATGTGCAGTAGCTGGGGAGGCCATTCAACAGCTTATCAGTGCTGGCACCTTTTGCCAGACATCAACTGCAAATACTGCAGTGGTCCTATGGCCCCTGAAGAAAGGATGACAGTGTGTCCTTCTCCTGTGCTCTCCTTCAAAATGAGGCATTCCTCCTCACTTTACAAGTCCCTCGTGCTGGCAAGAAGTATCAGGTTCCTTACTGCAGGGAGCAAAAGTAGCAATAAGTTGGGAGCGTTTTTCTACCTTTCAGTATGTAAGTTGGATTGATCTTAAGATCTTGAAAGAAGATCTTGTGGTCTTATTTCAAAGCATGTCCTCACTCCCCATCAGCCTAGCAACTTCTCAGTTGTTCTTAGCATCTAAAGTGTAAAGACCTGATTGTGTTGGGGAATAATTTGAGGGGAAGTCTATTTTTCCTGTAAGTAATGCTGGAATTTCTGGAGCTTTGCCCACAGCGAAGAAGCATTTGAGCTGCTGACCTATTTCTTCTCCCTCTGTGGCCTCTCCAGTGCTTAGTGCCGCTGTGCCTGATGTGGGAGGAGGCTCAGGGCTGTAACCTTGTTCTTGCCCACAGGGACTCCAAGATCCCTGAGCCGCCAGCGGGCCACAAGTGGAAGGAGGTGCGCTTTGACAACACGGTCACCTGGCTGGCCTCATGGACCGAAAACATCCAGAACTCCTTGAAATATATCATGCTGAACCCCAGCTCCAAGCTAAAGGTCAGAGTGATGCTGCTGTTCAGCAGCACCATTTTGAGACACTGACCTTTTGCCAGGTGGAAAAATCAGGGTAAAGCAGAGATGTGCCCAGTTGACAAAAAATATATATATTTTTTTTTAAAAGAAAAAAAAAAAGATGGGGTGGGGGAAGACTCGTAGATTAATTGGGATGCCCTTGGTAGGGAAGAGTAAGGCAGAAATGACCACTTTAAGCATCAAACCTGTTCCTGGTGACAAATCCCTGCTGTCAAACCTGTGCCCCACTGCTCACCTGCATTTGGGGAAGGCAGCTAAAAGCTGGGCAGGAGCTGAGAGGGTCTGTGGGAGACTTAGAGCCCATGGGGGTGGGTTTGTTCAGGCCAGCAAACTGGGCAGGAGGAGGTGGAAGTGCTGACTTTAGTGCTGCTTGAATTGAAGCGTGTGAACAAGTGGGGAGGAGAAAGTGATTTAAAGCTGTTTCCAGTCCTCAAAGCAAGTAGGGATGCAACACAGTGTCAGAGGAGGCAGGCAAAAAAACCTGACTGCTTGGACAGCAGATCCTGCTAGGTGTACCAGGAGGTTGATGCCCTGGGGCTGGGACTGGGGAAACCAGATGTTCTGGCATGCCTAGCATGGCATCTGCATCGATATGGAGAGACTATTCCCAGCTCAGATCCTGCTGAGGAATCGTTAATTTTATCCCAAAAGTTGGGATCTGCTGGCCCGTACTTGCTCTGTGGTCCAGCCTCTGCTCATGTTATGTGCAACTTCTTCCTTTTCACTCCCAAGGCCAGATGAAAGTTGGGAACCATGTGGAAGTGGTTGCACAAAGCACATTGCATTGGTCTGTGCCAGTGGTGTCCGAGCAGCAATGATTGTGGCCGTACAGCACTGGAGCACTTGGTTGCTTGCTTGCTGTGCGCTCTGCCTGAGCAGTTGGAGGGCACCTCCAGATCAAGAGCACTTAAGATGCAGTGGCGAGCCTGGGTCTGGAGCAGCCAGCA